GTGGTGAGGATGGAGTTGTAGGGCTCTACTACAGCTGTGGAGACCTGGGGGGCTGGGTAAATGGAGAACTCCAGCTTGGACTTCTTGCCATAGTCAACGGAGAGACGCTCCATCAGCAGGGAGGTGAACCCAGAGCCAGTGCCCCCGCCAAAGCTGTGGAAAACCAGGAAGCCCTGCAGGCCTGTGCACTGGTCAGCCTGTTAGAAAACAGAGGAATAGAGGAAAGATTTTTTTTTTGGATACAACCATTGTATACTTTTATTTTTCATATATCCCCATGGATTTAAATATTATTTTGATACATGCTTTTTATTTATCTGTGTCTTGTTTTTTTGAGACAGGGTCTTGCCATGTAGTTCAGGCTGGCCTTGAATTCATAGTGTAGCCCAGGCTAGCCTCAAACTCACAGTAGTCCTCATGCCTCAGCCTTCCAAGTACACCACCATGCCTGGCTGACAAATGCTTTTTTTTTTAAAAGTTTAGAAGAGACTGGATATAGCTCGGTGATAAGAGTGCTTGCTTGGCATGCATGAAGCCTGAAGTTCAATCCCCAGCACGACATACACACAAGAACAGAAAAACCTTGCAATTACACAGTATTTCTTAATTTTAAAATCCTTAATATTTACAAAATGATACCAAATAGCTTGTGCTTTTGTTCTCTTTATGGTGCTGGGAACTGAAACCAGAGCCTTGTGCATACTAGGCAAGTTTTATCACTGGCCTACATCCCTATTCCCCATAGTTCATGTTTTAAGTAAGACAAAACAAAAACCTAAAAGAGTAACTCATACCATTTTTAATTATATTCCCATTCTGTGATTGGAAAAAAAAACAGGTTTATTCAAATGTCTTCTTTCTTTAGAGATGGCATAGCAGGTGGGGGAGGTTGGGAGTGAACTGTCTTACCTGTATCACTGAGGCTGACCTTGAATTTGCATACCTCTTGCCTCAGCCACCCTAGTAGCTGGGATAATAGGCTTGTGCCACCTAATGGCCAAATGTCTGTATGCTCACTAAGTTATTCTGTTCTCAACATACCAGTTTCCGAATTCGGTCCAAGACGAGGTCAATGATCTCCTTGCCAATAGTGTAGTGCCCACGGGCATAGTTATTGGCAGCATCTTCCTTGCCTGTGATGAGCTGCTCAGGGTGGAAGAGCTGGCGGTAGGTACCAGTGCGCACTTCATCTGGAAGAGAAGAAACCCGCCGCCCATCACTAGAAACCTGCAAGGTGCCTACTCAAGCCTGGGGTGTCAACACAGCCCTCCGGCCACACCTCAAGTCCCAGCACCCTGGGAAGCCTCACCAATGACTGTGGGTTCCAGGTCTACAAACACTGCCCTGGGCACATGTTTGCCAGCACCAGTCTCGCTGAAGAAGGTGTTGAAGGAGTCATCTCCGCCCCCAATGGTCTTGTCACTTGGCATCTGGCCATCGGGCTGGATGCCATGTTCCAGGCAGTAGAGCTCCCAGCAGGCGTTGCCAATCTGGACACCAGCTTGGCCAACGTGGATGGAGATGCACTCACGCTATGAGAAGGGAAAAAGAAAAAAGTCATAAAATTAAGCTATATTAGTATTTTGACTTTAGTAAATTTATAGAAAATATTTCTATTTATATGCCATTCAAAATTTGGGATCATATGTCTAATATAACAAATTATTATGGGAAAAATTCTTAATGAAAAGAACCTCCTACAAGTGCTGCAAATGGGTGTGACCTGAATAACAATAATGTCATCTTGGCACTGTTTAGCATATAGTGCAAGCCCATTGTTCCCATAGCCATACTTTAATAGAAAATTCTTTTACATTAAAAAATATTAAAAGCACAGACTTTATAAATTTAAATTACATTCAGTCACTAATTGGAATGAATTTCATTGCTTTCCCCTTTAAAGATGAAGGTTTCTTCTTAACAGGACTTGGTATTTTAATCTGGACATCTGTACTGCAGCTGAGGCTTGAAGCCACACCCTTCTGCAGTCTGCAGAATCCATCAGTGGGTGGGGGTTAGAAGCTAGACAAGGGCTGCTTGCTGCATTGCTGTATTTGCAGTGCCTGGTGCTGGCTGGCACCTTCTGCTGCATTATTTAACAGTGCAAGCTCTAGTTCCAGCCACTGCCTACATGATCTCATTGTGCTGCTTTGCAGTGTTCCTCCTGTGACCCAGCCTAGCACCATGTGCCTGGATTGAAATGAATTAACGAAGATGCACTACAACAAAAGACAGCTGGATGCACAGTGTAATTCTTTGTCTGCAGCACTTTCAGTACTTAAAAAAAAATTTTTAATGGAATCTTCTCCACAGTAAAAAAGCTAAAAAAAAAATTATTAGTACCTTTATAAAAACAGTTCCTAAGTTTAGAATAAATACCACAGGAGAAACTACCAAAGGAAAGAATAAAAGCCTAGTTAAAGGATAGTGAAATATGTAAAAGAATGAAATATTCATTCTGAGAGTCTACTCACCACATGACATTCCCATTCTTTTTATCCTATAGATTGTTCTCCATAACCCGTAGGGATACAACTTCCATTGTCTATTCACTGGCATATGTGGAGGGCGTTTCCCTGCGTTCTGACCATAGGGAGCCCGGGCTCACAAAGGCGCCCCTAACCTCACAGCGCCCAGCATCGGCACCCCCACGCCGTCCCCGGGGGGTGGTGCTTTCGTATTTTGAAGGGAATTGTACTTCTGCTTCTCAAGAAAATATATGTCATCTAAGTTTTAACAATGAATAAAAATATCTTTTGAAGCGTACAGTTTCGCAGTGAAAAAAGGCTTTCATTAAAAGTCTGACAGGAGGTTTAGCTAGGACGAACCCCGCCCAACGCCAGAGAAGCCAGAAACAAACAACTCCGCCCCTGCGCCTCCCGGCTCCGGCTGCCAAGGGCTGCAACAGAAACTAGCCATTTTCCCGTTTAATATACGGGTATCTTTCTAAAATACCAGCGAAACCGCAAGTGATCTTTCCACACAAACCCAAGGCTCCCCTCCCACAGCCCCCAGCTACACCCCGCTCCCGGCCCTGTGGACTGCTCCCTGCGCCCCGGAACCGCGCGAAAGGAATGGGCCTCTCCTGGCCGTGGGAACAGTGAGGCCGCGCAGGGAACGTCTGACGCCTTTCCCGGCCCAGACCCTTTTGTCACGACAGGCGGGGAGCTCGCAGTCCCGAAGGGCTCTCTGGTAACAGAAACTCTCCCGCGCCGCCTTTGTTCTTCCTCCTGCTTCTCCTCCGTGCGGGGAGCGCTTTCTGCTGGGTTTTTGTACCCCGCACTGCGGCAGCGGGGCCAAAGGATTCAGGGCAGACAAAGGTAAACTTCACAAAGCATAGACTACCCTTACCCAAAGAAGCTACAAAAGAAATGAGTTTAAGCTCTTCCAAGTAGACCCTGGGGACTGACTCCACCCACCGGTCACAAAGAGCCGGAGAACACACTCTTACCATGGCTGCTGCTTCGCGATTGCCGAGCGAATGGAGACGGGAGGAGCGGTTGCTGCTTCTTACAGCGCGACTCTTAGGCGGTCGATGTAAGAGAACCTGCGGCACATGGGCGTATGCAGCCTCCTATATACAGCTCAGTCACCATGGGGATGGGCCAGGGCCTTTTCCTGTTGGTCCAGACCCCTCAATCTGCCCAGAGAAGTCAGGACTGGAGAATGGTGATTGGTGCAAGCGACATGGGATGAGGTAATCTCTCCCCCACCCCCTTTTCCCTAGCATCCATAGACTGTTTGCATCCTTCAGACAAAGAGACCGTGCAAAGGCAGTCAGTCGAGCATCCATTATGGGGTGTGGTTGGGGAGGGGCCAAAAAGGAAGAAATAAGACTCGGGTTAGATGATTTTACATTACTTAAGCCTCAAACTACAATATAAAATTACCTATGGAAGAGTTTTTCTTACACCTAATCGCACTATGTGTTGAGATTAAATATTTATGGAAAACTACACCCAGCTTCTTTCTCAGAATTATACTAAACTCGACTACATTCTGTTGGGATTCAACATTTCTAATTGCTTTTAAAATGAGGTAAGAAGAAGATGGGATGATGCTCAAAACTGCTTGGGTAAATGTAATTTTTATTTAAGATTCAGCTGAGGTACGAGGAGCGCAAATTCAAACCCGGCTTGGACAATTTAGCAATTTAGTGAGACCCGTGTCTCAGAATTTAAATAAATAGGGCTGGGCTGGGAATGAAGCTCAGTGCGAAGTCCCTGGGTTCGATCCCCATTACCGGAAAAAATTTCCATTTTATATATATACTGGCCCATAATAGATTTTTTTTTTAAAAAATGATTTCTCAAGTTCAAGTAATTTTTCAGACGATTCTTTGTACCCGAACGCGTGCGCGCTCGCGCGCACACACACACCCCAAATTGCTAACAAAAGTGGAAGATGGAAATAATAGCCATATTGAATAAAGATAGTTCTAACATGGCAATAATTAAGAGCTAGTATGAATACAGTAGTTAATTTGTTTAAGAGATATTCCTTTACCAGAAATCTAAGTAATATATTTTGTTTGGGTGTACTGTCCATAGAAATGAATCATCTTTCAGGATACAGAATTGGGAAAAATACAAAAAGAAAAAATTGAATTAAAAAACTAAAGTAACATTTATATGTACAGTTTTATTTCTGCATTGTTCTCTTTCCTGGATAACAAGCTAAGAAAAAAACCTTGGAACACCGGATTAAAAAGAAGACAGTTATATAATGGAAAAAGAAAACCATTTTATAATGTTTCCTCCATCGGCAGACAACTGTGCAATGTGAGCTCAACTACATTTCATTTTTATGTAGTCCTTAGTGAATCTGGTAAATAGTCTCTTCTGTAGTTGGGCTTCTAACTGTGGGAACTGTAGCTGCCTCACACCCTTGCTATTCAACTAGAGACTCTGGTGGTTGCTCAATTGCCCCTTGGGACAAAAAGGCTTTGCTTTCGCCCCTAGGAAATGGATTGCAGTAACATTCTTTAGCTATTTGGAAAGGCTCCCTTATCAGCAGGGATGAGCTATGTAAAATAAGTGAACTGTGGACCTCTTAACGTTGCTGATAAAATTTCAGAGGTAAAAAGGTTTGTATGGCCACCAAAGTGGAAAATTTGGATTTTGATAGATATTTTTCTTTTGGTTTTTAGCAACAGATTTTCAGTGTCTGCAGCATACTTACAAACGCCCTGCCGAGCCGGTCGGCTCCGGCCGGGCTGCAGAGCAAGGGCGTGGGGGAGGGATTTGGGAAGACAGCTGCTGCAGGTTGCGGTACAACAATGGCGGCCTGCGTCTTTCCAGACTTCCGTGCATAGTTCTGCTCTCCTAGCTCAAATTTGCTGCGGTTGTCCTTTCTAGAAAAAATACAACCCAACACACAAATCACTTCATTCTTTGAGTATTTCATAGGAAAGAAATCTTCCATCTCCATCACTTTAGCAAATAAAAATATACTTCAGTAGAGACAGGAGGATTAAGGATGACTTTAATGCTTTTTTCTGAAACCATAAATATATTTAACAAAAATAAGAATGAAATCACATTGATAAGGACTAATAAGTAGCTCATTCAAAATACTTATTTCACAATTTTAATTGATAAAATGATAAAAACAGATTTTAAATGATAAAAAACAGACACTGCTGGACCATGGTAAAGTATACAAAATTTTTTAAAATGAGGCACAGTCTTGAATTTTGTTTTCTTTACACTGTAAAAGATTAATCAAGAAATGTTTCCTCAGTAGTCTGTTCTTTATACATTTTACTAAGAGTTGAGTTCATGCAATTGATTTTTTGTGACTATCTTAGAGTCACATTTTTTGTGACTATCTTTTTGTGACTATCTTTATGTAAATGAGGATTTTTTTTCCCTCTCTTGGGCATAAGTAACAATAGAACTAGGTCAGACAAACTAAATACTAATAATCTTAAATATGTAACAAGAGATAAGGGAAATAACCCTGTATTTTTTGTTCTTAATTATCTGATTAATTAGCATTCAGACTAAGGAAATAAAAATTTTTTTTCTTTGTTTACTCCTGATTTTTACTGTTAATTTCTTTAATTTGCATCAGTATACATGTATAAGTACTTTAACAGGTTTCATTCTATACACAGTAATATTAGCGTAAAATTTTTATTTCATAGTATTTGTGGGAATTTTAATTAATTTTTGAATATTTACACTTCCCTTCCACTAAAATATGAATCCTAGTTTTTGCAAAGTGCCAACCGTACAACAGACATACATGTTTGTTAAATTAAATGAATACATTTTTCTGGGTATTTTCATTACCTATTATCATGGTTAGTAATTTTTTTAAATTTTTATTTTATTTATTCTTTTGTTTTTGTGAGACAGGGTCTCACTATATAGTTCAGGCTGGCCTTGAACTTACCATGTAAACCAAACTGGCCTTAAACATGCAGGGTTCCAACTGTCTCAACCTCCTAAGTGCTGGAGGTGTGTGGACCCACCCCCACAGCGATTTAAAGATATTTAATAAAATATTTTACCATTTAATAAGGTATGATTAAAAATATGGTGAATGTTAAAATTTTTAAAAAACATTATCAGAAAAATATTATTGGGCTGGGATATAGCTCAGCGGTAGTAGAGTGCTTGCCTAGCATGCACAAGGCCCAGTGCCACACGCACAAAAATTATCACAGTAAAAGACACATTGCCATTAATCCTTCTCAAAATACTGCCCCTCACTTTGAACACACATCCCCTCATCCTTGCTACTTTCTGAAGCAGTTCTGGAAGTCCTCTTTTATGAGTATCTTCATAAGCTATGAAAAAAAATATGGTAAATGCTTCTGTAGAATGTCATCCAAGGGAAAGGAAGGCTTATAAAAATATGGTGTGTCCTCATCCACCTTATTCACCAGATCTGGCGCTATGTGACTTCTGTCTCTTCCTCAAAGTCAAAACTGACCATGAAAGTAAACATTTTGAAACTTCACAACACCACAACTAAAGCCGCTCTCTAAAGAGGACTTCCAGAACTGCTTCAGAAAGTACCAAGAGGGGGCCAAGGATATGTCTCAGTGGTACAGCACCTGCCTGGCAAGCATGAGGTCCTGAATTCCATTTGCAGGACCTGAAAACAAAACAAAACGAAAAGAAAGTGCCAAGAATGATGGGATAAATGTGTTTGAAATTAGAGGAATATTTTTTGGGGACTAATGGCAATGTGAAAAAAGCGATGTGTTTTTTATAGTTGTTTTGTTTTTTGAGATGGGGTCTCACTATGTAGTCCAGGCTGGCCCCCTGACTCTGCCTCCCAAGTGCTAGGATTATAGGCATGCTCCACCATGCCTGGCCCACTGTATTCTTTTTTTAAAATCACAACACTAATGTAACAAACATTTACTGAGTGTCTGTAGTGAGGCCTGGACCATCTAAAGTAGTAGGGAATGGACAGGTAGTAACATGGGTTTTTTTTCTTTCTTTCTTTTTTTGGGGGGGTACTGGCAATCAAACTCAGGACTGCATGCTTGCCGGGCAGGCACTGAGCCACTGAGCTAGATCACCAGCCCCTGGTCTCTTTTCTTTAGACTCTTCCAATGTATGGTAAGAGTGGCAACCCATGCCTATTATCACAGCACTCTGGAAGGCTGAGATAGGAGGATACCAAATATGAGCCCAGCCTGGGTACTTTAGGGATTTAGTAAAATCCTATTTCAAAAAAGGGCTGGGGATGTAGTGCAGTGCAAAGGCCCTGGGTTCAATCCCTAGTCTCTCTCTCTCTCTCTTTCTCTCTCTCTCTTGTTCTGTCTGTCTCTGTGTCTCTCTGTCTCTCTCTGTCTCTGTCTCACACACACATACACACAAAGAATCTTCCAATCTAATTGAAGAATCAAGACAAGATTCATTTAAATAAGTCTGAGAATGACGTGTTTGTGTGTGTGTAGAGAAGGAGTTTGTTGAATCCATTGCAAGATCTCATGTATCACAGTGCAAGCAGGAGGCAAGAGTTCTGTAACACTTTGTTTTCTACTTCATCTCCTCTTAATCCCTAAATTTATTGCAACCTGGATTATGCTCCTCCCATTCCTTGAAACTAATGTCCTTTTGTCTTTATTGCTAAATCCACTGGACACTTTAGTTCCTGTTAACATGTGATTGACTTTGTCACAGTTAGCTATTATCTCTTTGTTTTGTTTGTTTGTTTGTTTTTGGTCTTTTTGACAGGGTCTCACTATGAAGTTCAGGTTGGCTTTGAGCTCACTTTGTAGCCTAGGCTGGTCTTGAACTCACAAAGATCCTCCTGCTTCAGCCTCCTGAGTGCTGGGATTACAGGTGTGTGCCACCACACCTGGCTTTATTATCTCTTTGTTGAGACACTTTTCTCCCTTGGCATCAAAACCTCTGTGTTCTGAGCTTCTGATATATATCTATATATATAGGTATATAGATATAGATATAGATATATACACACACATATACATATATATAGCGCACTGTCTGTGACTGGGGTTGTTTTGCTGAGGTAGAATATGTGCTCAGGATGCAAATATATATATTATATATATATATATTTTTTATATACAGGATCTCACTTTGTAATTCAGGCTGGCCTCACACTCATGGCAATCCTCCTGCCTCAGCCTCCAAAATGCT